GACGCTCTCATATTATTTTCATAATTTGATTACATTAAAAGGCACAAAACACTAGGCAATGAATAACTTTGGAAATATGCGACTCTTGTATACCCTAACAGGTAAAATATTAAATGAATTGAACATCTATAAAATAACATAAAATCAAATAAAAATATCTATAACAAAATTATAATTTGAACAATCGAGTTTAGGACCAGCTTAAAACAAGTGGCTTTAAAAAAATATAACAGAGGTTGCTTGAAAATATACTTAAGCCTCTTCTTAATAAAAAATTACCTAATTGAATTGAAAGAAAACTTCATAAATATTCAGGATGAGAACGTATAATGTATTTATTTATTTAACTAAAAACAGTCTAAAATTTAAAAACAATGTTTTAATAAATAAATATTTTAAATTAAAAATATATTAAATTAAAAGCGTAAAATTAAATTAAAAATATTAACATTTTTATTAGCATTTTCCTTAACTTAATAAATAATATATATAATAATTACACATTTCTAAACCTGCCTGGAATCCGAGGCCAAACTGCTTAATCCAGTCGATAGGCTGTACTTTCTTTGAGGCATCGCAGACGGAATAACTTGTAGCATTTTGTTTGTGGCCGAATTGAGGACACGTGACCAGGTCACGTGGCACAGTCGGCCGGGCAAAGCGGTAGCAGAAAATCGGCGTGTCAACTCACATGTAATCACAACAAAACATGTGGCAACATGAATCGCTTCGGCTATCGGGTATAACTGATATCCTGTCGTACAATGAAATTGCCATTAAGCGTTTAATAGTTGCCTGTTGGCACATCCCACGGCTCGACAGAGGCGGCAAGCCGGAACAGGAAATGGGGGCGGGCCAGCCAGGCAGGGTATCTGCGGTTGGCCGCGTGCCGACGCCTCATCATTCATGTGGATGTCGTGGTTTGCTGCTCGTTTAATGTTCATGTAAATTATGCGCCAAAAATTTAAATTCCAAGCATTAGAGATAACATTTTACAGAGTTTACAAAATCGTGGGATTTGTTTTGAGGCAACAACTGCCATTAAAAAAGTGGGCACAACAATGCGCGGGTTGTTCCACCTATTGAGGGTTAGGGATTGGCCCCCTTTTATTTCTTTTGTTTTGTTTTGATTTTGTGAAGGGTGTCAGCCCAAACACGTGTTGAAATTTGTTGATCAGGTCTTAGATACAGACCTTAAAATGTTGACCATAAGCTGGGTATTACAAATTTATTGACATGTGCCTTACAAGCAGAAAGGCATTTTATAAAATTATATTTTCAAATACACAGAGACAAAAAAGCACATTTTTTATTTAGTAACTTTTGATTTATGAATGCAAAATAATGTTTTCAATTTTTTTTATCTATAGTTGATATAGATCCACAATCTAATCTATGATGATACCAATAAAAAATGAGACAGCCTTTAAGGTGCATATTAAAACTGCCTTCTTAATCCGATTTCCAAACTGATTTTGCTCTATTAACTTCTGCCCAAGTTCTCTTTTAAAACATACTGCACAGCACCCTAAGCAAAAAAAGGCAACAATCAGCGGAAATATGCATAATTCAATACAGTACAACGGCAAATGCAGCTTTGATCGTCGAACTGGGTCGACATATTGTAAAACTATAAAAAATATATATATATCTACATAATTCGTGCAAATCTGGAATCGTAAAAATTGGGCAAATTTCGGCAATGGCGAAAAACCGCAACAAATTGCGGAGGGGAGGCGGCAAATTAGTTCAAAATACACGCGAGAGAGCGCAACATAAAAATGCGACATAATGTGGCAACATGGCTCTGTTATGCCGCGCATACCTCCCCCTCCCATCGTCCGGTGTCGCAGGAAATCTCATAAAAAATTATAGATTTTCATCTTTGCATATTTAACTTTTATCGCAGGCCGTTCTCATGTGTTGGCCCCCCCAAAGACGGAGGCCTTTATGCGGCCACAGCCTGAAGTTGGCATAAAACAAATGTCATACTCAGGAGGTGGTAAGAAATCATATGTATATATATATATATATACACACACACACACATACAAATCCGACGCAGTCATAAAGGTGCTGTGTGTGTGTGTGTGTGTGTGTGTGTTGTGGATTTTTGCATAATCGTCAATTCTTGATTTTAAAATTTGAGTGCATAAGGGTCGCTTGGGGTTTTGAGTAGCTTGCCGGCATTTTTCCGTCTTGGTCAACAATAAAAATTCATTTTTATAATCTTCACATGTGTTACAGCAAAAGCAACAGCAACAGCAACAGCAAACAGCAACAGAAACGACAACAATAAATATTTATTACTATTTTACGATTGATTTTAGTTTAGGTTTCAGGTATTGAGCTATTTGCCAAATAATGTCGTTAAAATAGGCAACGATTTCATTGGGCATATGTCAAAGAAAAAGTCAAGACACGTCAGATCTTGATGCGGTTTACCAGTGCTTTTTATTTTATGTTTAACATTTAAAAGGCATCCCTAAAATATCCCGTACCATTCTTGGGCGGCAAATTTCGTTGAGATTTGCGAGGTATATTTTAATATTGCCACAACCAAACAAGATTGTGCCTAGCAACCGCATTTTGCTCTGCAATATGATCGACAGAGTCGCGTTGCCAACCAGCTGAACCAAGCCGAGTCCAGACAACATTCAAATCTCGGCAACCAGACGAACAACAACAACATGGCGGCCTCCACTTTCTGTCCCTACAGCAAAGTTTCAACGCCAATGTAATTGGATGCATGATTGCTGCAAGTTCACACAAAATGTAATGAAAGTATCGCAAGGAAAATCCATTTTCAGTTCATTAAGTTTTCTCAAATTTATTGAAATCACATTACAAAATATTGAAATCACTTACCCAATAAATCGAAAACATAGCTTTCCACAGAGACCTGTAATCTTATGAAAATAGAATTGAAAACAAAACTAAAGGTTTAATGCAATATTTCCATTTGCTCTCCAGAAAATATTCTTATAGAATATTTGTAAGAAAAGTTCTAAAAATTGCTCATACCGATTTAATTGCGCTTTCAATTTAACTAATGGTAAATCGCTTAAATGAAATCATAAATAAATGACAACTTTGATTTACTTGCGTCCACAATAAAAGCCAACATTAAACAGAGTGCAATTCCGGGGATAACCCTAACTGGGCTCACAGACCATGGCGAATCCGCTTAAAAACTCTCATCCTTGGCCGTGTGCAGTGGACCGTGAAGAGTGGATGGGAAGTGGAAATTGCGCATTAGCCTCGCATTGGGGGTAAAACACAGCACATGGAATGGGTGTCCAGCAAATGCGCAATAGCAAACATTTAAGGCTAGAACTTCAGAAGACTAATCTCATCGATATGCATAAATAGAATACAAACGGAAACGGAAATCGAGCATACACCAATTAGTGTTGTTCAATGTGCTAGACTTGGTCTCAGCTAGAGGATTCACAGGTGGCCACAGTTGCCACACCGAATCTGTGCCACCTTTTTGGGTTGGGCATTAAAATGGCATTCAACGCCACCCATAAAGTGGCAATTAAAATCTTATTTTCGCTTATTACATTTTACCATCACAGCTGCAGCCGCCGCCAATAAACACGTCTAAAGAATCTTCCCATGCCACGCCCATATTTCAAGAATTTGTCGCCAGCTTTGCCACCTGTTTCCATACTTTTTTTCCATTTTTTTTTTTTTGCGCTACAGTAATTGAATCATTTTAGCGCCATTTATTTTGTTGCCACCACGCCACGCCATCCACTCCTCCTCTCACTGCCCCTAACCCCTCGGGGCGTGACATTTGTAAAACAATTTCTATTTTCAAAATAAAATGCGCAAGACCAACAACAACAACAACAACAAGAACAACGAGAGCAGGCACATAAATAATAATGCGTTAAATTTATGCGCTGATTAATGTGAAACAGTCGATCAACCCAAGCGAGCATAAACGGAAACGGAAACGGAAACGGTAACTTTTTATGCTCAGGTGTTGCCAGCACTCAAAGCGATAAGGTCATATGAATATTGCGCTAACATTTCTAAAACTTTGAAGTTGCAAACTCAAGTATCGATTTCAATGTATATAATGATAAATAAAGATTGGTGTTTGGTCCGACTTTAATGATATAGATAAGTTGAGCTTAAAGAAGACAAAACTTTATTAATCGATTTTCCCAAGTATTTGTAAAGATATAACTCTTTAAATATTTAGATTATATCTACTTGATGTTAAAAATGCGTTAATATATTCAAAAAACCATTTCTATAAATCTAACTATTTAATCTGTAACATTTATTAATTATATCAATTTAAATAAAATGTTTGGATTTCAATGTTAACTGGTTTCAACTACATAAAAGTTCGACTTTGCACAGAAGATTAATAATATATAAATCTATAAGGAAAAAAACTATTTAAATCGATGTTCACAAATGTTTTTATAGGCAAAACACTTTGAATACTGAGATAATATCAATTGGGTATTCAAAAATTATTAAGAAAGAATTTGTGGAAGTATTTTTGGCTGTATTTGCCCAATAACCAATAATAAATAATTCGCAATATTTTCATAGAATTACAAAGTTTAGGATAAGGGGTATCTCCTAGTCGTACACTCTCAACAAGTAGTTTTAGTTAGCAGCTTTACTGCGATCTCTCGCTTGTAATTCTTATGTAATTATCTCTCACTCAACTGATATTGTGCTCTATGAAATAAGCTAATAAATGCAATATGATAAATATGAAAGCTGTCAGTTTAATACGATCGTCGATCGATGAATCATGTTGACAAGTTGTTAACTGACTACTAAATATAAAAATATAAAAGTGAGATGAGGATAATGCATTGTTTATTTATTTCACTTCGTAACTGCCTGCAGTGCTTTCCGTGTATAAGTTTATTCCAAATAAGCTTTCAAACAATTACAATTACAGCAAATTAAATTTAGAAATGTTGCTTTGAATACTAAATGTGCAGTTTAGATGTGAGATGTGCCTGAAACCAATAGTTGTAATTGGCAGTCAGAATATGGGATTCTTGAAAACAGATTCAGCTGAAGCTCCTTGGGTAAGTAGGGATCAGTGTCATACTGATTTGTTTGTTATTCATTTATTATTTAATAGATTATAAAGATGGTAAAACTTTTTTGTGATAAGAGCGATTTAATAATCATAATAATTAATACATTCAGTCAAAGATAAATTTAAATGTAGAATGCATGGCAAGCGAGTATAATTTAAATAAATTTCCGTGACATTTTTTAACAGATTATACAACGTAGTTAGTATTTACTAAATTATGTAACTGGGCTAGAATATTTTTATTAATTAAACACAGATATGTTTAACTGGCCGACCTTATTTTCTTTTTGCACAGAAAATTAAAAATGCACTAACGAAAAAAAATATATAATCGTGCAGTCTACTGTTGTACAGCTTAATAATATTCTTAAATGAATAATAATAATCGAAGCAACTATTATGCAATTGTCTCTCCCAAGCTGTTCAACTGGTTTTACTAAAGCCAACTGGGATCGAAGTCGTCTACTGAAGGCAGTTAGCTTATTGTAAGCTGAACTGCTAAACTGGCTACACGTGTCAAGCAGCGTTTGTTAATTGAATAACTACCTTGTTTGTAAGCGGAAAATGTTTTGCCACCACTCAGCTGTATATATCAGTATATATATACTGATTTTGTTAACATTTTGCAACGCTTTCCGTAAGTAGCACATTCAAAATTAGCTTCGACAGTTATGCTTATCAATACGATTTCAGCAAAGGAAATTAAGAAATGTGCGTTTGGAGATGATAAATGCATGGTTGATTCAATAAACAACATTATCAAAAATTATCCAAAAGGAATACCAGAAATTGGCTTGAAACCAATTGATTTGGTCGATGTTCCGGATCTGAAACTTGTGTCAAAAAATCATGAAAATGAATTCTTTTATGCAGACATTAATTTGACTAATCAAGTTAATTATGGTTTCGAAAACACAACGATTACAAGCGTTGAGGGTTTCACAGAAGATCCAACATCAACAAATATTATAATATCTGGAAGCATACCCAGTTTGGTGCATAAGGGACTCTATATGGGAGACGGACGACTCTGGATTATAAAAGTGAATTTGACCGGTGAATCAACGTCCGAGTTTCAAAAAATGGATTTTACATTGAAACTGAAAGTGTCACTGCAGTTTCGAAATAATAAACGATACCTCAAAATTCACGAGCTGAGTCCTACTGTCAGTTTAAAAAGGTGCGTTTTATCAGATAAATATATTTGGCATGCCAAAAAAATTATCTAATTATTTATCTCTAGGTGGATATTATGGATGGATTCACTTTTTCCTGATAACTCTGATCTAACAATCAGGCTGAATCGTTTGTTCAACGAACGATGGGTGGAGATCTGGAATGAATGGGAACCGATGATATTGGATGCATTTGCCGAAGTCTTTCTAAACCAGGTTAAGGACATATTCGATAGAGTGCCCTACGATGACATGTTTCTGTCTAATTGGTCTAAGACTCGTAATTCATAATAGATCTTGTTTTCATGTACTATAAGTAACTATAATAAGCTGAATAATAAGAAATACTTTTCAGATTGAGATAATATGTGATTCCATTACAATTGATACAAATAATTTTAAGAATTGGAATCTTAAAAGCCTTTATTTTATATAAATTTCTTTGCTTGCGCAAAGCCCAAATTTATTGAAAAGCTCATCAAATTAAACGATGCGATTCCTTGTCGAGAGCCCCTGTTACTCCGTGCCAAATACGTAGGCATTTAGCGAAACGTTTATTTCATTATTACGCATGACGGGGGAGAGTGGAAGTGGGAGAGTGGCAAAGTGGCAAACCACTGCAGTCACCCAACTAGCAAGGCAACCAAATGCACAAAAGTCAAATTGAAAAAGTCAAAGAGTGTTTCCGGCATTTGAGCGCGAAACCCCAAACAAAAGCCCGAAGGGTGACTAAAGTGGGTTGGCAATGCTGGCAACAGCTAAGCACCGTAACGGAAGTACTAGCAGCAAAGACAGAGACAACCAGGCCAATCCCACCACCAGGCCCAAACATCCAGTCAAGCAGCTCACTCAATCCCCGAGCAGGCAAAAAAAAGAACAGGAGCGAAAGTTGCAGTCGGGCGTAACCGACTGCGATATACTTTGATACCATAAGCGGAGAGCTCCAGCGGAGAACAAGTAGCAAAGAACAGGGTGGATGTACCCAAGAAGTACTGTCCAAGTTAGCCTTTCAAATTGCGGTAGTTCTAAGCTAGTAACCTTTCTTCCAAGGTATCGGTTATCGGTTCTTAAAGTGAGGACGGTGGGCCTGGGGGTTATGAGGCAGAGGTGAGCGTGGGCGTGGCATATGCCGATCTTTGAAGGACAATTTGGTGACTTTGGCCTTAAAATTGTGGGATATATGTGACTTTATCGATTTGCGATAAACGAGTTTACCGATCTCATAGCCCCCGAGTGGGCGTGGTACTTCAATTTTTACACTTTGTGTGACGCGAGCACAGCCCAGTATATGTTCCAAAACGGACAGATGGAGAGACAACACGACGGACATTGCACAAAACCAATATACTACGATGCCTTCTGTATCAAGGTATAAAAAGGCGCACTTGGTTCTTTGTGCCACCACCACCACGCCCCTCATGAGACGACCTCAAATCACATGCATAAGGTTTTTAAGTTTTGTGCTTTGTCATACAAGTGCGTGGAGGACAACGATCTGTAGATACAGTTGTAAAGATATGGTAACAGGCGCGTAATGTGACAGCATTGCCAGGCGGCAGAGAGGCAGACAAACGGTACACATCACATGTTTAGGCGTTGCCAGTCGCTGATTACAATTGCTGAGCAATGTGGGCGGATGAGGAGGAAGAGGAGGAGGAGAGACTATGACGTAGCTCGCTGTGTGTGGGCCGCGAGGGTGGCCAGAAGAGAAAGTGTTTGAAGTACTAAAACATATCTTTTTAAGTTAGCTCATTTTATGTTTGTTTTATGGCAAGTTAAGTTTTTTAAAAGTTTTAATTAATCTTATATAAAATAAAATAAATATATTGTTGAGAATGTTAAAAAAAAGTATTTTAGCCGTCTAAGAAAGTTTACTTACAATATGTGATATATAAAATAAAATAAAAGTTAAACACAAATTTAATTGTTAATTTCTGATTTTTGATTATTTGATTTTGAGCAAACTTTAAGAAATTTTATTAAAATCATCTTATGTATTTTTTAGCTTTCGTATCTCATGAATATTTATTGTTTATTAACAAATATCCGATTTATGATAAATCGATTTTTAGTTAAATTTAGTAAAAAATCGTATTAAATTCAAATGCGGCTATTTTCAGTTGATTTTTTACTGCTTTACTTATAAACTTTTTGAGCCACCAAACCAGAAATACTCTTTGGCAGGCATCAAATAAGCTTTGGTTGGCAACCCCTCACTTAGTCCATAGCATCCAAAACTGGCATTGCGTGACAATGTTGACATTGCCGCCCTGTTTACACGAATCGTCCTTTGCCCCGCCCCCATCACATACAAAATTGTACAACATTGTATTGTTTGGATATCATTTTGCGCAAATAGATGCAACTAAAATTAAATATTTGGCAAATAGTTGCCCGAGTAATTGGTACGTTTATTTACCAACCACAGGACGAAATCAATGTTGCAATGTTCATTGACAACCTCGAGGGCAAATTTAATTAAGGCGCACAGGTGACAATGCTGCAGCAGTGGTGTGGGTGTGGTGTGGGGGAGTGGGGAGTGGCAACAAGTTTACCGTAGGCCATCATAAATCAAAGTTCAAGTGGAGAATAAATTGCGGGGAGGTGGCACCGAGTGCTGCAAGTGTCAGCAACATGTGGCAAGGACGAAAAGAATAAAGCGCAAGAAATAAACGCAGCGCAAACACAAAAAAAAAAATACAAATAAAATTGGAGAGCTTTGCAACTTATTTTTTGACATGGTCAAGTTTAATTGAAAATATAATAAAAAAAATTTATTAAAAAAAAACAGAAACAAAACAAATAATTCGGGCGACTTTTGGCTTGACATTTAACGCTGCGCAGCTGCTCATAATTAGAAACTGTAGCAACTGAGAGAGCGAAATTAATTTATTCTTTTTTGCGTTTTTTAATTGAAATTTTCTTTTTATTTTCATATTTTTTTCATCGTTTTTTTTTTTTATTTTAGCTGCTGCAGATAATTTTTAATAACCTGTCCTGCACACGCCGCAGAGAGTCCAAAGGATGCGCCACTAATTGCCGTGGCAAAGCGGATGAGCGGCAGAGAGAAGACTTTACGTCTGTGAGGGATGAGGAAGGGTTTTCTCCATTTTGCCCATCGTTTTTATTAACAAATTTCGCTTAATTTACGCTGCACGTTACGTTCTAATTAATAATGGCGCAACGGTAGTTAAAAATCCTTGTTGCACGCCAGTTGATTAAATTTGACACAGTTCAAGTTAACGTGGTTGGGAAGGGGGCTGGCCGGTAAAATGGGTGGGTGTTTTAGTCGCCTTTTTGGGTTAGAAAAGGGTTAAATTAGTGGTTGATTTTTGGTGACATTTATGAGAGTAATTTATGAGATTGTTGTCGTAAGAGAGCAGCAACGTTTCTCCCATATGATGCAATTTAGGAATAATTGTTATCTATTAGAAATTATCTTGAAACGATTTATAAAATAGTTGAAAGTCCCTCAATTGTCTCAAAAATACCATTTATAGTAATTCTACGGGTTAAAGTGAGTTGCAAATTATATACACACAGGATGTGGTCTTCGTCATCCAAGGATATCTTCTTTCACCAAAATAAAATTAAATGTCCCCAATAAAAAATATCATTTAAAAAATGTAAAATTCACCACGCTCTAACAGTGTTGTAACTTTAACATAGATGTTAAGAAATTAACATAGCATTGTTTGTAAAATGGTTGGCAGCGCTAGCAAGGACACCTTTTAGCAAAGACACTTACGATTCGAAGATGCTTGCTGGTTGGTTGGTGTCATGGGAAACCCAAGACGAATTAATATCGAATCAGCTGCATTAATTCGAATACAACAACGAAATATTAATTTCTGAAGTGTCAATATAGTATAATAAACCGTCTCCTACATGTAATATGAATATAGTCAAATCGCAATCAGAATAAGTACTTTTGTACTATATCTATATACTCTCTTTATTCTCATATTTGAGCATAATATCACGGGCCAGTTTCATCTCATCGAGCAGCGCTCCCAGCTGGGCGCACTCAATGTTAACAATATGCGTGGTATCCTTCGGTAATCCATCGACTAATTCCTGCGAGATCTTCAGTTCCAAGGTGGCACAATTTGGAGGCGTTTCGCCCAGCGAGGTAACATTTCGTATGCTTTGCAGCTCATTAACTGAAAGTGGAGTTCAGAGTGCGTTAAAATAGATGTCTTTATGTGGTATGTGCAACGAACCCACTTCTAAATGCCTTATCAATAAGTTTCTGTCGTATCGCTGTTGCATGCGCTTGCAGTACGCGACACATAGCCGCCGCATGTTCTTTGGGCAGGCCAAGCTGTTGGATTTCCTCGCTAAAGATCACATCGGTGCAGCTATAACGTGCCGCACTTGTCAGCATATAATGAATGCAGGCAACGGCTGTTTTGCCATCATTCGTTACCGTTGAGGTGAGGGATCTGATGGCAGCTTCCTAGAAAATTGTCAAATTCAATTTAATAAATATTTAAAATATTTAATATTCAATCGTATTTAACCGGTGATTGAAAATGCTACTGCTACTTTGCGCAGCTGCTATGGGAGTTGTTATGAGAGCTGTTCCCAAAGCTAGAGCAGATCAGACCGAAAGAGCATTCACTTCAGTCTGCAGATATTTGCTGTGCTATTGCTTTGTTTAAGTTTGTAGCAGTAGCAATAGCAGTGTAATCTTTGGGCACTTACCTCAAAGGGCTCACCATTGATGCGCTTGGCCACCAGTTGGGCCAACTGTTCCAAGCTATCGACGCTCAAATTGGATAAAGTGGATATGATTTCAGCTAAAACCCAATCGGGACAATCGCCATCACCACAAAAACGAAATTTCTACAAATACATCGAAAATAGTGAATATTCTTAAGGAATTCAAGACTTTATTGTTGACTGCAAGCAGCTAAATTTTTACCGCCTACACAAATTTGTGATGAATTCGAGTAAATTAGAGAGCATGAGCATCTTCAACAAGTGGGCTAAACCAGAAGTTCGAGCAAAGAGATAAAAAATGGGGAAGGGAACAGAAAAAAAGACACATTGCGCCAAATGGAAGGATACTTGGCTATTTGCATATGATTAATTTCATACGCTTGCCTGCTAATCAGCGAGCAATTTGTACAACTGCCAACCGAAAGGGGTTGCATGTGGCACGTGGGTGTTGGGTCTTGGGTGGTTGACTGCCACAAGCTAATGAGCAGCCTGTGTGAGTGTGTGTGTGTGTGTGTGTGGATATAAAGGGAACGCGTAGCGCACTTTCAAGTACACGTCACGTTTATCTATGGGACAGGATTAATAAATTTCCAACGGGGGAGCGCGTGCAAAAAAATGTAAAAAAAAGGGAAAAAAACAAGAATCATTTGTTTCAACAGTCAGCAGCTTAAGATATTTATGACACTTGTTGCTGGAGTCGCCACCACCTCCCAAAAGCCGCTGCGCTCATTAAGAACTTCTCGCTCTTTAGCCGTGTGTAACGGTTTGTAAATGTAAACGACAACGCTTATTATTTTATGAACTTAAAAGTTGACAGTCGTCCTGGATGGGTGGATGGTTGGCTGGCTGGGTGGATTGCGCATATATAAAGCCACTGAAAGTGAGATTGAACTGCACAGTTGTTCATTGCCTAGCTGCGAGGACGGGCGTCCCGATTACAACACAACTCCAACAAACGTTCCACGGCAATCAGCAAACACAACACAACACAAAAATGTTGCCCATTTGGCGCCTGCTGTTGCTGTTGAGCATTTGCCGGCAGCTTTATGCATTGCCAACGCCGCACACATCATCATCCGGCGGCTCAACGGATGTACAGCTGGAGCTGAATACCTGCGAACTGCAATTGGCCAAATATCGCAAATTCATACTGCAGGCCATACTCAGTTTTGAGGATGTGTGCGATGCGTACACTGCTCGTCCAGTTACCTCAGATGATGCTCAACTAGCGGATATGTGGCCATTCCATCAGTATGCACCACCGCCAACATCGCAGCGTGGCGAAATTTGGGCATTCTTCAAGCTGCTAATGGGTCAGTTCAATGATATGGAGTTTGCGACCATAATACGGGATGCGGTCATTGAGAGATGTCGGATCCGGGTGCAGCGGGACGACAAACGCAATTCGGTTGTGCTCGGCAAGAAGCAGCGATTCCATTCGTGGGGTGGCAAACGTACGCCGGGTCAGCTGTCCACGAATGGAGGACCACTTCTCACATTCCCCGAAGCGGTCTCCGCAGCCGTTAACGACGCCGGCTTGGAACACAATTATTATAATTAATCAGAGACCTTTGTCACAACACTTATTGTCCCATGCTTCATTCCAGAAATGTATGAGTCTCAATCTATCAATTAATTACAGCTCTAAATGTTGAACAAACAAAAAACAATATAAATAAAAGAAGCGCAGCGAGAGGTTACTTACCATCCTTATGGAATGTTGTTCTTTTCTTAATTGTTTATAATTTTATGCTTCTTCTTGGTGCGAGTACTAAGCTAGTATTTATGCTGGAAGAAGCATCGATTTAATATCGATACACCGATGTTTTTAAATTAGTTTCCAGCATCGATGTTTTCCTTCCGATGTTCACGAGATGCGATGCGATGAAAATCAATTTTTTTAAATAGAGAACTTGAAAGATTCCAATGTCAGAAGACATAATAAACCTAATGTTCCATAATTTGATTTTTGTAAGTAGATTGCAATAAGGCAAGCTCGATTGAATTGAACAATGAATCAGGGTTATAACTTAGACATGTATCTTTTCTTCCTTTTTGTTATAGTTTGTTTTTCGCTAAATCCCTTTTATTTGATATTTTACCTTATGGCTAATACTTATTGCATTTCTTAAGAAATATATATATATATTATGTATATATTTCTTATTAAATGCAATAAGAAACATAAACAAAATTCAAATTATATTTTACTTAAATATTCAATCGCTTATAGTAAAACATCGATAAGTCCATGTCATTCAAAAAGAAAAATTGAAACTAATTATTATCGACAGCCGCCACATAAATATTGCTTTGCGAGATTTTATGCGATAGTATTTGTTGGTTTGAGATATGGCGCTTTATTTGAAATATGGGTAATCATTAAACATAAAAGAAATAGATGGCATTTATCCAACTTGTCGGTTAACAAAGCACTGTTGGTACTATTAACTCGGTTAATTTAATTGCGCTTATGTGTAAATAGTGAGTAAATTGTACGGGGCTTGTCGATAGTAATCTACGATCAACGCCTTTAATTCGCTGATAAGACATTAAAAACACCCCCAAAAACACACACCCATTTGCACTCAGCGTTCATCTTGAAATTGCTTAATCAACATTTAATTGCAAGAATATTGCAGCTTAAGGTGAAACCTTGCGTCGCCGATAAGGATTCCCTGATAATCATACTCCAAAACTGATTAAAGGTGAACAGACCACAACAAACTTATAAACCAGATCTATAAATATACATCAGACAAGTGGTTGGCGGGCGGTGGGTGGAAATGCAAACTACAAGCTGTCACTCACAAGGCATGTGCATTAAGTTACCTTATCTCGGCTGTGAGGTTCAGCTCAAGCCTTTGGCTCGGGTACACGCTCAAAACAAATGCTAAAAAATCAATTGATAGTAGAAAAAATTGAAATTAAGTAAGATGCTTTTTGCTGATTTGCTTAGACGGCGCAACTGTCAAGATTTGCTCAGCTGGGAATGCCTGGGAAGCAGGCCTGCTAGCTTTGAATTTGAATTATAATCATAAACAAATGATTATGGATTGATTAGGTGGGCGGGTTTTCAATAACAAGTCGCTAATTAGTCTAATCCAATAGGAATTCTAAAAATACTAATGGGGATTGGTTTAAGCGCATCTGTATTTAATAGCTCGTGTAAAATCTAAAGCAATCTAATAGCGGAACTATTCCGTCCAATCAAATGCTAATTAGGTTTTTGCATTCCCACTCCCGGGCAGACTACCAATTGAGTATCTCCCTTGAACCCCGTAAGCAACTCAAGATCCGGTCAGAGGCTATCTACCACTCAATAGGTATATATACAAAAAGTCAGATAACCCAAAAAAAACTGTAACAAAAGTCTTATCAGGGGAAAAAAATGCAAATTATAATACAAATTTCCCAAAATTGAGAGTAATCCAATCCAGCAAATCAATAAATAAATTCGACATATATATATTTATGAGCAATACAGAAATTTTAATTAAATGCATAATTGAACCTGTTAATATGTAAAAATATTCAACGGTTTTGTATAAATATGATGATATGGAATTAATCAAGGGTGGAACGGATTTAACTCAGATTTAACTAATTGTGTAATTAAATAACAACTAAATCGATACGAATTTCGTTATCACTTTTTCAAAATCCGCTTAGACCTCAACTCTGCCTCCCTTGAGGTTGTCTATTCGATTAGGTCTTGAATTCATAAATAAATTAATAAATCTTCAATTTAATGCGCCTTAAATGTGCATCTGAAATCTTATTACGTAGGCATCTACGTTTAAAAAAAAAGGTCAATAATGGGCGACAAACAATAAAAAGACACCGACAAAGATTTGAGCAAACAAGAGAAAACAGAAAACGAAAAAATTTATGATGATAATAGAGAACGCAATAGCCAATAGGCTGTAAAAAATACAAAAGCAAAATAGAAGACAAAAAAAAATAATACTGAAATTAATAAACATTTCTTATATGCAAGATTACTCAAATAATAAATGTTTGTTAAGCGTTTCTTTTTTTTATATATACATGTAAATTCAATTTTGACTCTTTTAGCTTATCGCACCTCTCTTTCTCTCTCTTTCTCTCTTTGGCTGGGAATTTTTTCAATTTGCTTGGCCCTCACATAAAAAACTAGGGCAGCATGTACATAAAATTGATAACAAGTTCCCCAACAGCTAATTGAGCATAGTGAAAAGGCAAAAATTAAAATAAACAAATAAAAGACCATGAACAACAATAACGACAAGAAATGACGTTTAAATCTAGTCATTGAACTTAACATTGGAAGAGCCACAGACTAAAATGCCAATGATAATAAAGATTACATTGTTCCACGCTGATCGTGCTAGAGTAGATTGGCTGGCAGCAACAACAGATCCAAAATTAAATAGACCCCCACTTAACTTTACCAAGATTAGCCCAAAATTCCGATTAGCTACCGAGATTAGTTGCGCTAATGAGCCAAAAGTAAAAGAAGTAAAAGCGAACAGTTAACTTAAAATTACGCTCAAATTGAAGTAACGCCCATGCGCTGTTGCTTCCTGCCGCCAGATGGCGCTCGCGAGTGGGCGTACCAGCATTCCAACAAAAAGATTTAATTTAACACCGCGGGAGCTGGGACAGGTTTTCAATTGTAGTTTTGTGCATTTTTCAGCAACATTTTTGTGTGGGCATTATTGGCTTCAGGCATTATAACAGAGTTCGAAAAAAAAAGCACGAAGTCAGATGGAAACTATTGAAAAAGTATTATAATCAAGTAGGAAAACATTTTCCAAAAAAGAAACATTTATCAAGTAACTATTAAATGAAAAAAACACCCTAACAATCACGTGCCTTAAGCGTGCACTATAAGCTGCGACACCTACAACTTTTTAAATATTTGTTTTTTGCCGTCAATCACAGACAGCAAGTCTGTTCCATTGACGTCACATTACAAGATTCCGGCTTGCAGATAAGACCCGTAACCCTTAACTTGACCAGGAATTATACTGCGCACGTTTTAAAATATAAGTAAATTGTCCAAGAATTCTTATGGAAACATACAAACATTTATGAAATGACTTTATTCATTCTTAACTTATAAGACTGTTATCAAAACTGACTTTGGAAAGATGGAAAATTTTTCAATGCATTGCAAAAAAAAAAAATAAAAATATTATTATTCAATCGTATCGGTAGTTATTTATATACAGACGGCCATATAAAGTTAATCAGCGTGTTTAATGCCCTGATAAGCCAAAAGGTGACCCAGTTGAGACTAATGAGTGTTTCAAAAATGGTCAGGCCTGAGAGTGAGAGCTGTTTGCCATAAGGGGTATGCAACAGGTCGGGATACCCAATGTGTTCAAATTGCAGTTACTTTATGTCATTTCTTTCCGCTTTTCCACTTCATCTGGCGATACCCACAATGGGAAAGACAACAACAATCCTCCAGACACGATGCTGCTGACAAAATAAACAAAAACTATTTGCGGGGCATGCAAATAGCTGAAATACACAACTACTAAATGCAAATTTCTGTTGAGTTTTTCTCAGATTAAGCTACATATATATGTATGAGGGGTTCAATGTGCCGAAAACTTTTCTCGATTTGCACTCAATTAGTTTTTCATATGGTCTTGCAATGGGCAAACAAGTTTTGACTGGCCTCATGCTAGAAGGTTAATTCAATTGAATTTCTATCTAACAAATCAAAAATTTCGTAGCACAATTTTGTAAAATAAAACGCAAAACAAAAAATTGCATATTTACCTGTTGACACGCTTCATGAACTGTTTGCTCGACTGACTCATTGGCTTTTGAATTCTCTACACGCTTCTAGCAACAACTATCAGCTAGCTAGACACAACCACAGACACAGATACATATACACAGCCAGCAGTGACAGATACTTTTGCAATATATATATGTATATATATGTATGTATCTGTGCGGTGCAATGCACGCATTCAACATTGAATGCAGTGCTCAAACATGTTTTATGTTGCCTCGTTCGCTTTTATGTTAATGTCCCATAAACCGGAACCGGAATTCAATTCACAACTGATGCTGTAAAGTTTTATATTTTCAAAGAAAGGCGGAATTATTTGAGGTATATTTTGTATATCTGTTAATATTTAACTATTTGTGCTAATAGCTACAAATATTTAGCACCTCAAAATTACCCAAATGTTTACCAATTTATTTATTTACAAATAAAAAACATTGCAGTTTTAAGATTGTTTATCTTAGCTTCTTCAAAACTTAATCAATAATAGCTTAACCTTCAGATGAAAAGTACATTTCAATTTAATTAAAATCTTGATATAAATGCTGAAAAACAATGTACAATCAAAATATTTTATAACATATGTATTTAGAGTCGCCTAATTAGTTAATGTGTTTATCAAAATGATTTGAAGCCGGTTTTTTGATATTTGTGACTGGCATTTAAACAACTTCTCCTAGCAACAAAATAAAGATAAGAAAGTTTTAACAACAGATCTGCGATAAAATTGTTTTCAAAGTATAGAAATTTTTGTGGAAAAAAGTTGGTTAGATAAGTAAGTGCCCCCAGCGCACATTTTCAACTATCAGAAGTCGTATGTTGAAAATGCTTGCTTCGTTGATTATAAATAAAACGATTTTTGAAGTATTTCTTAACCGATGATGATGAAATTTATACAGATGATAGATAGACAGATATATATTTCAATTGTTATTAGAGAAACGGAGGAACATATTGCTGCCATTTAATAAACTTGATCTGCGTATGATATT